GGACATAAAACACATTTAGATTCCCAGAGATATTATTCCTGAAATATATGGATGATATTCTCTTTTCCTTCTCAACTATAAAATCTGTATTTAGGTGAATGCTTAATTTCATGGTCAATAAACTAAAATAGCAAAATGTATTATAATTGGGGTATTTCAATTAAGTGCACTCTAATCTTCCCATCACTACTAGGGATTTGGCTCTGCTCTTTAAATTGCATTCTGAAAACTCTGTTACTAAGAAATATAACACCTGAAAGAGATCAGGTTATTAGCTTGTTAAATAATGTTTTTGGATAGTTCATAGAATTAATCCCTTACTGAGAAGAGCCTCAAAGATTATTACACCACTAAGTAAAATGCAAGTTGGTTATTTGCTCCGTACTAGTAACTGGCAGGTTGCTGTATCACCTTACTCAGACAATCACTGTGATGACTTAAATAGGTATGACCCCATAGATTCTTATTTGAATGTTTGGCCCATAGTCAGTGGCAGTATTAGGAGGTGTGACCTTGTTAAAGGAAGTGTGTTACTTTGGAGTCAGGCTTTGAGGTCTCCTATATGCTCAGGCCGCACCCAATTTCTGTTGCCTGAGGATGAAAATGTAAAATTCTCAGCTCCTTCTCCAGCACAGTGTCTGCCTGCATGCCACCCACCATGATAATAAAATACTAAAACCTCTGAACCATAAGCTCACCCCAATTAAATGTTTTCCATTGTAAGAACTGCCATGGTCGCGGAGTCTATTCACAGCACAGAAACACTAAGTTAGGCAATCTTTACGCAAAGGACACCCTTTTAAGCTATTTTAAACACTCATTAGGGGTTGCCTAAAATTACACCTACACTCTTACAGAGATTACTTTTAATGCTTTTACACATGGCTTTTTAAAAGGACAAGAGTGTATATTTTACATACAAATTCCGTAGACTCCACAGAAAATATTGTACCCATTCCTGGGTTGCACAGCTCAACAATCTAAAATTGCTATTATCAACCAACTTTCACTAAATATTTTCCAACCATTAAATATTTTGATTAATGTCATGTATAAGTTAGCACATGATGCATTGAAATATCTCTCTGATCTCTATAAATTCTTAATCTTATGATCAATAAATTCAATGGGTATGGTGAAGAAAACAAAAATTTAGCTTCAAGCTTATAACCATCAGCTGACAGTTAAATCTATAAATAGGTAATTTTAAGTGACTACATTAAACTACATATTATACTACATAGTATGATTCAACATTTTTTAGGAAAACAGGTCTACAACAGAAAATTGCAAAACAAATAGATGATTTTAAAGTAGACATGTATCTTGCCTTCATCTTGGCTGATGACCTCATCAGGATAAAACAGCCTTGTAGTTAGTTAGCAATCATCTTTACAAAGATAAGGATCACAGGTTATGTAACTTCACCATCGTTTAGATTAAGATGACCACGTTGTAAAAACAAAGGTAGCACCTGTAAAACTTTTAATTTCTACAATGTCCTTAATGTATTATCATATCTTCTTTGTAGACTAAGCAGTCAACAGCGGGTCTCCAAAGTATTTTAGATTAAGATGGATTTTTATATACCATCAAATTCCTAAGGTTATAAAGATATATTCAAGCTAACAAGAAAACTGACTGAGAGAAATGTCTAACAATTTATGTCTTTGATAACTGTATGTTTAACCATTTATTTCTATGTATATATTAGGCTTCTAAACTTTTTAAAGTAAAAAACAACATATGTTTGATAAATAAGGTCTAAATCCCTAAGGTCTATTCAGACTATCAGAAACTGACTTAAAGATATATGATTAGCATTTTTGTCTTTACAACTATATTTATAGCTTAAAGTTTACCTTACTTTAATGCTAAGGGATCTTCAATTCAATTTTTCAAGGCTAAAACTTAACACAGATAAAAGTGTAAAATCCTAAACTTCTAAAAGCTAGTAACTTACTGTAAATTGTAAAAGATAACTACGCCATACAAGTTACTGGTCAGTCACCTTCTAAATGACTCAATTCTTCCATGTGCTCAGACTGTATTTGTAGTCAAGCTCAGCACAAATGTAATTCACTTACAAGAATAAGCTGTAGTCTTGTATCCATGTTTTCATATAGAGAAGTAACTACAAAGAAACTTTGTTTGAAATAAGGCATACTTAATAGATGATCACCCAATTTGTTAGAGACATATTAAATATGGCATTTAAAACATTTGATTGACAGAGGCCACTGGATTATACTTCCTGCTCTCATTTATCCCCAGCTCGCTGACGTTGATGGAAAACTGTGGCTTTATCAGTTCAACAGCAACATTAACAAAATAAAAAAATTACCTTGTCTTTTATTACTAAAACATATTTAAATTAATATTCTCATACAGCAAAAAACATTTTTAAAATAATAGTGTAAATAGACTTGAGGGATTTTTAAAAACTAATAAGGAGTAAAGGAAAATTAAAAAAAATTAAAAGTATTTCCTCTGGGTATTATGATGCAAAGATAATGGCATGTTTATCCCATTTCCTTAGAGGCCACAAAGGTTAAATAGAAATTACAAGTATTAGAAGTTAAATTATCTTCAAATTTTCACCTAAATTATTTTTGGTACAGCCTGAGAATCTGTCCCATCAGCCTGCCTGCGGAACTAAAGTCTCCCAGCTACATTTTCCTCCGTGGGATTATTGCACATTGCAATTGTTCACACTTCTGTATCATTTACCGGCTGGATATGAACTTTAGTGCTTACTCGAAAGAACTCAAGCACTTTCTGCTTCAGAATCTTCTACCCTTCCATCACAGTGTCCTCTAAGTATCCTGGTACCCAACAGCAGTATCAAGATTGAAACTGTCCTAAATTTTAAAGATCCCAAATCTTAAACTAATAAAGTTATGGGGATAAAGTCTTATCTTTTGAAGGGTCACAAATTTAATAGATTTTGTTTGGTTTTAGTTTAGTGCTTTCTCTTAGCTGTATAAATGATCAGACTGTAGTAGGGAAGAGGATTAAGGGGGCTCACAAAAACCTATCGTCTATTGAAGAAATGATTTTCTACAGTATAAAGCCACAACTAAAGAGACTTCAGCTTCATATACGGACCCTTCTCTGCGGTCAGTTTTGCAGAGATCTGTGATAAAACTGACTAGGTTCATGGATAGCGCCTCTCCCTGACGAGTCAGCTACAGGACACAGCACAAGGCTTGGGAGCTCCAACAAAATAACCTTCGTGTCCTATCTGGAACTTGACTTTGTCAAACAACACTAAGCATGTCCTTCCTAGGTCTCTCATTATAACCAAATACCAATAATGGTCTTGCGAATGCTAGGAAATAATTAAGGAATTTTAATAATAACCATGTTACTCAAATCTCTTACAAGTCACAGGGTCATGATATGATGAAACACCATTAAAGATTTAAGTGGCAAATTAGAAAATATTAAAGGATGAAAGATAACAAATTAACACTAAAATGCAAATATTATCAGAGTAAATAATAGCACAGACATGCACACATTTAAACCACATGACAATTTTTCTTTTTTCTGCATTTTTTTAGAAAAATATAACGACATTGACTAAACATAAAAGAATATTGATACTGCATCTGTGACCAGTGTTCATGGCCGTGTGTACACGTAAACAGAAAACACTTTAGGAAGGAAAACGGGTAATAAGGGGGCAGAAGAGAAGAGAAATAAAGAGGCAGGAAGAAAACACTGTATGCGTACATATCTGATATCAAATGGACACTCTCATTATTTTCATTAGTAAGTTTTCCAATCGGTGCAATACAGTGCCATGAGCAACTTTAAGGAGGATTTAATCTAGCTCATGGTTAAAGGCTACGGTCACCACTGTGGTGGTCTGAGCAAGAATGGGACTGGCTCATGTATTTGAATGCTTGGTTTTCAGTTGGTAGACTGTTTAGAAAGAATCAGGAGATGTGTCCTTTGTAGTATGAGGGCTGGCTTGTTGGGGTTTCTGTCCCTCCCAGTACCCCAACAGCCGGCAAGCAACAAAGAAAATCACACACAAGACTCCATAAGGTTATAAACTGATTGGCTCATTAGGTCAGGCTTCTTGTTAACTCTTATAACTTATATTAACCCATTATTCTCATCTATGTTAGCCATAATGGCTCCGTACCTTTCTCTGCTGGGCAAGTTACATGCTGCCTCTTCGGTGGTCTGTACAGGAATGCTGAGGAAGCGTTCTCCTCCCTAGCCTTATCCTATTCTCATTGCTCTGCCTCTACTTCCTGTCTGGTTGACCCGCCTATACTTCCTGCCTGGCCAATCAGCGTTTTACTAAAATACATGATTGACAGAATACAGATAATTCTCCCACATCAGTCCTTATTGGAAGAGGTGTGACAAATAAATATATGGTTTATATATATGGCTTCTCAACAAAACACATTCTGTGATATGTGACGAATAAACAATTTCTCTTATCACTTGAATTTGCAGGGTTTCTCTATGTCTAAATTTAAAATATTGAAGGATATCAAAATCACTGTTCAATAGCTAACCAATAACTTTGCCTTCACAAAGTTCCTTACTAGTATGAGTTATTTGGTTATTTAAGCACAATTTTTTAAAAAATCTTTGAGGTTTGACGTCTCTGGGGATACTTAAGGCATGAACAGGTAAAGAACTCGTCAGTCACACTGATTGCTTTCGTAGGCGTCCTCATCAGGATGGGGTTTCCGATGCTTATACAGACATGAGGAACAGCTAAACCCTGGTCCTTTCCTGCACGCATGTCGGGTTTCTCTCAGATATGAACTGTGTGAGGTTGAGCAACAAGTGAATGATACCTGAAACTCTGTCATGTCCTTCACATTTGCGGGCTGTTTGAACGCTTTGCGTGTTTTAAAGTACAAAGAGCCTTTAAAAGTTCTTCCGACATCCTTCACACTCAGATGGCTTTCCCTCAAGACGAATTTTACGGAGGTTAGAAATTGTCGTTTGAATAGTAAAGCACTTACCGCACACTTCACAGGTGTACTGCTTGATTCTCTTATGGGTTCTTGCATGCTGAGTAACGTCGGAAGGACTGGGAAAGGCTTTGCCACATTCCTTACACTCATAGGGTCTCTCTTCAGAATGAATTCTGTGATGTCTTTTAAGGTCTGAAGCATAGTAAAACATTTTGCCACATTCTTTGCATTTGTAGGATTTCTGTCCGGTGTGAGCTTTCTGGTGCCGCCTAAGGTGGTGACTCCTACTGTAGGCTTTGCCACACTGTTCACAGGTAAAGCGTTTCTCTCCAGTATGAACAACTTTATGTCTACTAAGGGCTGAAAGATTACTAAAGGGTTTTTTACATTCTTCACACTTGTATGGTTTCGCTCCAGTATGAACTCTTTGGTGTTTTGTAAAGTCTGCACGACTGGAAAACTTTTTGCCACATACTTCACACTCATAGGGTTTCTCTCCGGTGTGAATTTTCTGGTGGTTAGTAAGTGTGGAAGGCATAGAAAAGGCCTTGTCACATATAGAACACTTGTAGGGTTTCTCTCCGGTGTGAATTTTCTGGTGGTTAGTAAGTGTGGAAGGCATAGAAAAGGCCTTGCCACACACACCACATTTGTAGGGTTTCCCTCTGATGTGAATTTTCTGGTGCTTATTAAGTATGGAGTGCATAAAAAAGGCCTTGCCACATACGTCACACTTGTAGGGCTTCTCTCCAGTGTGAATTCTCAGATGATAAGTAAGAACTGAGTTTCTAGTGAAGGCTTTCCCGCATTCTTTACACTTATAGAGTTTCTTTCCTGGTTAATAAAACGAAATGGAGAAAAACTTAGGAATATTTGTCATATTTACAATGCTTATCTTTAACACCGAGACTTTATTTTCATGGATAACTAAGAAACTATAATATATTCAACATCTATATTCACTGAACCTATACTTAGAAAATATGATAGGTGGAAATCATTTAAACTTCAATTGAAAGAGAAAAAAACAACAAAATAGGGTATAGAAATAATGGAATATAATTCAAATTTAACTACAAAAGCTGTAACATGGATAGCAGTGGAAAATCTTCAGGCATTGTGCTAACAGAAAGCAATCCATTAAACAAACAGAGAAACCATAGGAGTGTGGACACAGGAAAATCAGGAAGTAGCTGAACTAGAAAAACAGGAAGTTGATGATGACACCAAACAAGATGGCCATGGAAAAAGACAATGCTTGATCCTAAGTATGAAGTTTTAGTTGTGGAAAATAGAAAAAGGAGGCTGCATAACAAGAGGACTGTTCATAACGCCATTAGATAATATCTTTAATCAATTTAAATTAGTAGGCTCTATATTATATTTTAATGACAAGAACATAAATATCAGAAAGATAGTATCAGAAAAAATTCAAGTTCTGCTACAAATAACATAATTTTGCTAACAACATACCTGTGAATCAACACAGTTTAAAGAACTATTTATTTGCTAGAGAAATAACTACTGAGTAACCAATAAAGAGAGAAAATAAACAAGGAATGCAAAATATGAGGCCTATGTTTACAAACATAAACAGAAATATACAAGTCTGTTGGTCACAGAAGTAGATACTTCAATATAGATTTTTCATGGATGATTATACACGGAGCCCATGCAAACAGATGATTTCAGGCGCCGTAGAAGGCAAAACATAACAGAGAAAACAGACCTGCAAAATGAGGAACAAAGAACCTCAAACTCACAAAATAAAATTCTTAGCTACTGTAAGAAACATTCTTCTACACTTGGACAGCTTTCACCCATGACTGGCCACCCACAAAGGGCATGCATGTAAAATCACTGACACTGTGGGAGAAAACATGAAGATGAATACAATGATTCAGCTAGCACTCCGATAAGGGAATTTAAGAACATGATAGAAAGAACCATAATAGAGCCAGGCGTGGTGCATGCCTTTAATTGCAGCACTTGGGAGACAGAGGCACGTGGGTCTCTGGGCTACAAAGCAAGATCTAAAACAGCCAGGACTACACAGAGAAACCCTGTCTTGAGAAAACAAAACAAAGAGAAACAAAAAGGGGCGGGGTTCTAATCAGAGAGGCTGAGGGAGATAGCTACAGAAGACAGGAGGAGAAAAAAAAAACAGTAAGGTTCATTAGATGGTAAAAAAGCCTTCAACAATATTCAACACCCCTTCATGATAAGTCCTGGAGAGAGCAGGGATACAAGGAGCATATCTAAATATAATCAAATCTAAACAAATATACAGCAAGGCAACAGCAACATCAAACTAAATGGAGAGAAACTCCCAGTGATCCCACTGAAATCAGGAACAAGACAAGGCTGTCTACTCTCTCCATATCTATTCAATATAGTTCCTGAGGTTCTAGCTAGAGCAATAAGATAAAAAAAGGAGATCAATGGGATACAAATTGGAAAAGAAGAAATCAAACTCTCACTATTTGCTGATAATAAGATAGTATACATAAGTGACCCCAAAAACTCTACTAGGAAACTCCTATAACTCACAAACACCTTCAGTGATGTAGCAGGATACAAGATTAACTGAAAAAAAAAGAAAGAAACCAGTAACACTCCTTTATACAGAGGATAAAATGACTGAGAAAGAAATCAGAGAAACATTACCCTTCACAATAACCACAAATACTAGAAAACATCTTGGGGTAACTAACCACACAAGTGAAAGACCTGTATGACAAGAACTTCAAATCTTTGAAGAAAGAAATTGAAGAAGATACCAGAAAATGGAAAGATCTCCCATGCTCTTGGGTAGGAA